AATTTGTGCACATTAAAAGGGAATTTATTAGAGGAAATATTTTAATATTGCTATTTGCCCTTTCTCTATAATAGAAGTGTCAGAGAGGAAAGAAAATTAGTAAAATGATGAAAATCTTCTCCCTCCTGTCAGAGTCTGGGGTGTGCCGGGGGACCCAGAGTCAAGTCCCCGCCCACCCGTGTGCACCTTGAAATCGCGTGATACCCAAACCCCCCAGACCCGGCCGGCCCCACCCCCGTTGGGTGAGATTCAGACCTGGCCAGCCCCACCCCCGTCAACCTCCGCTGGGCAGGGGGGTGCAGCTTCAGATCCTCTGTCAAGCCGCTCCGGGTGAGAAGGTGCAGCCTCAGGTGCCCCATCAAGCCCTGCTGGGTGGGGGGTGTGGCCTGAGGTCCCCCGGCCTGGCATCGGGGCAGGGGGCGTGCCTTCAGGTCCCCCGTCAATCCCCGCCAGACGGGGGTGTGGCCTGAGGTCAACCATCTAGCCCCGCCAGGCAGGGAGCTCGGCCTCAGGTCCCCCAGTGCCAGGGCGGGGGTCGTGGCCTCAGGTCCCCTGGCTCATGGCCAGGGCAGGGGGCACAGCCTGAAGTCCCCCATCAAGCCCTGCTGAGCAGGGAGGGCATGGCCTCAGGTCCCCTGGCCCGGTGCCGGGGTGGGGGTCATGGCCTGAGGTCCCCCGGCCTGGTGCCAGGGCATAGGGTGTGGGCTAAGGTGCCCCATCAAGCCCCGCTGGGTGGAGGGCACAGCCTGAGGTCCACTGGCCTGGCGCCAGGGCGGGGGGACGCAGCCTGAGATCTCCTGTCAAGCCACACCAGACGGGGGTCACAGCCTCAGGTCCCATGCCCCGGCCCAGCACCACACAGCCTCAGGTCCCTGCTGATTGCTCATTAAGGCTAGTTATGGGAACTCAGCCTCCGCTGTGGGTGCAGCCATCTTGTGTACGGAAACCCTGCCTCTACTATGGGTGCCACCATCTTTGTGACAGTGTGATGATCAATTTGCATATTCCCTCTTTATTAGATAGGACTAGAGACCCAGTGCATGAAATTTGTGCAGGGGAGGCCCAGTGCACTAAATTCATCCACTGAGGGGGTTGACCCTCAGCCCAGCCTGCACCCACTCCAATCTGGGACCCCTCGGGGGATGTCCGACTGCCGGTTTAGGCCTGATCCTGTGGAATAGGGCCTAAACTGGCAGTCGGACATCCCTCTCACAATCCGAAACTGCTGGCTCACAACTGCTCGTCTGCCTGCCAGCCTGATCACCCTGTAACCACTCCCCTGCCAGCCTGATAGGCGCCTAACTGCTCCCCTGCCAGCCTGATCAGCACCTAACTGTTCCCCTGCCGGCCCGGTCACCCCCAACTTCCCTCCCCTGCTGGCCCGGCCACCCCCAACTGCCCTGCCCTAACAGCCTGATTGCCCCCAACTTCCCCCTCCAGGCCTGGTCGTCGTCCCCAACTGCCCTCCCCTGCTGGCCTGGTCGCCCCTAACTGCCCTCCCTTGCTGGCCTGGTCGCCCCTAACTGCCCTCCCTTGCTGGCCTGGTCGCCCCTAACTGCCCTCCCCTGCTGGCCTGGTCACCCCTAACTGCCCTCCCCTACTGGCCTGATCACCCACAACTGCCCTCCCCTGCTGGCCATCTTGTGGCTGTGGGCACCGACATCTTTGAGGGCGTGGCAGTCAATTAGCATATTCCCTCCTTATTGGCTTGGGTGCCGCCATCTTTGCGATGGTGTGAGGGTCAATTGGCATATTTTCTCTTTATTAGATAGGATGTGCCTATGGTTTTTGAAGGTGGAAGTACACTATGGTAACATAGTCCCACTTAGGAGAGTCCCAGAAAAAATAGAGGAAAAGGGAAGTCCTCCTAGTGGGCAGAATATTGGGTAGTAAAATTTGATTGTATTTCCTAGAAACCATGCTGCCATTGTCTAATGCAGGAGTCCTCAAACTACGGCCCACGGGCCACATGCAAATACAAATATTATATTTGTTCCCATTTTGTTTTTTTACTTCAAAATAAGATATGTGCAGTGTGCATAGGAATTTGTTCATAGTTTTTTTTTAAACTATAGTCCGGCCCTCCAACAATCTAAGGGACAGTGAACTGGCCCCCTGTTTAAAAAGTTTGAGGACCCCTGGTCTAATGGGTTGACCATTTGGTAAGTAGGAGTGCTGGGTAGGTGGTATGTCTATCTGAATGGGCAGAATTATCCTAAACAAATATTCATCAAAGAAATTCATTGCAGAGGAAGCTCTCAATAATGATGTAGATAGGTAACCACCCTCTGAATATTAGTCAGCCTCTTTTCCCATCATTATACTAGTATGTCTTATTCAGAGGGCTCATGTTTATGATGATAATTGTATCAAGAATGGAAGTTATACAAGAGTTGAATGCATGGATTTATCTTCACCAGAGCTGACCTAGCTATTGCACTACTGAGTGCCTGTCTTGCCAACCAGGAAAAGTCAACATAATCCAGGAAATGGCTCCATTCCCTAGTGAAATCAACCAGCTACCTAGAGACAAGTTGATTACATCACCTGCTTCTACTATGGAGTGGACAATAATTTCTTCTCACTGAAATAGATATTTGTTTTGCATATGGGTTCTTTTACCACCATGGTTCTGCCAAAACTAACTATACTTGGACTTAATGAATGCCTTATACACCATCTTGATCATCTTATTTATTATCACATTACTTTTAATGAAGGAATTCATTTTATAGCAAAAGAAGTATAGAGAGTTCATGTTCATGAAATTCACTGATCTTACTACATATCTCAATAATCAGAAACTTTGGCCTTATAAATAATTATAATGTCCCACTGAAAACTCAGAGAAGGCTCCGGCTAGGAGACAACAATAAAAACGTTTGGGGTGCTGTATATGCTTTGAAATAACCTATATATGTTATGTGAGATTGAGAGGTATAAGAGGCAGTAGATAGGGAAGAAGGGGTTTATTAATATCAATTGTGTCTCATAACCATTTAGAGAAATAAAAACTGTAGCAACTATGCATTTTTCTCTTTCATGTTTGTTTCATGTATACACACACAAACATGTACATACTTGTGTATTCCAAATTTTTATTTTTTGCATTCTCTTTCCCTTACTATTTTATAAAAGAGTATTATAGGTGATAACTTTATAACTTCACCTCTAAGTTACAGAATATTCCTAAATTAGAAGGTTAATTAATACCCTAACCCCAGAGATGGACACTGTTACTGACAGAACATTTATTGCCTTGGCCATTATCCTTCTGGGCCACATGTAAAATGAGAGTTGAAAAAAATTCTTCTCTTGAATGCAGCAAAGTTTTTATATCTTGTTTCCTGCTGCTCTCAGTCTGTTCAAGTGTTGTGATTCTAAGTTGGATTTATGATGTCTTTTGCAATACAATTCCCTCACAACTTTAGTTGGGCCTATGATATGTTTGCTTAGTTATTTGTTTATATCTTTTATGCCATTCTATACCACTTATTCCTTTGCAATTTAGTTTTTATGTTAAAGAAAATCCATTCATGTTTGTGATTGAACCAGAAGAAGGGTTAACACTACCTTGAGATGGATATGGTGACTGATTGGACTATGTGTCTCCCTTTTTTGGGGGGGAAAGAGTAAGAAAGTCTTTGTAAGAACAATTGAAACATGTTAGGAAGAAGCATAATTTTGTTGCTATTAATTTGGTATGGAAGTTTAAATATGGGGAAAAGGGTGAAAATGTATCATGAACAGTCTAACGGGTGAACTTTGCGAGTTGTTTGTTGACCATAAACTCCATTGTTCCCCTCTGGACTCCTTCCTATTTTCGAGGAGAATGGTGGCCTATAAATGACCTTACCAGATTTCCTTGCCAGCTGCTTCACCTCCATGTTACTAGTAAGAAGCTGTGGCAGTAGACTTGAAAAAAAAAAAAAGCAAAGGGAAGCCTATTTTTTTGTTTTCTGCTCCCTCTTTCTGGTGATATTTTTGGCAACAGCAGCAATCCTGGGGCTGTGAAGGCTCCAGGATGTATGGTCAGTAATCAATGCAGCTCCATCAGCAGCAGCAATGGTGATTCAGGAACACAATTCTCATGGGCTCGGGCTCTCGCAACTGGAAGAGCAGCAGGTGATGGTGAGCTAGCTCTCACATTAGCATGAGTGTGGGTCCTGACTTCCTGCCTAAGGGGTAGTGAGTGCAGGTCCAGCAGCAGCAGCAGCAGCAGCGGCTGTGGCTGCAGACCCCTGCAGCTGCCCATGCTCCGGCAACTTTGATTATGTAGATATCCTGAGTTTTGGTTAGTAACTATTTTCCCTTTCCAATCCAACAAAATGAATTATGTACTTTGTTAACAACCTCTATGTCAATTTCTTTTTGTTTCAAACATTTAGTGTGATTATTTTCCCCCCAGTTAGATGCTGAGTGATGGACATGGGCATATATGATACCATTTATTTCATGTTCAAGAACATGACAAACAGTAGTATTGTTCAAGGATGTATACACATTGTCAAAAAAAGTGTTAAGAAGGCTAGGAAATGGTGAACTTCAAGTATAGGATATGGGTTATGGAAGGAGAGAGAAGAATATGTTTGGGAGTACATGTTGGACTTCAACTATTTTGATAATGTTTTATTTTCTGTTCTGGGTGATAGATATTAGATTGTCATTTATTCATTTTTATGATTGAAATATACATCAAAATAAATATTAGTACTGAGATGATTGAAAACATCATATTCTTCATAAATTACTCATGAATATAGTCTTTTTTAAAAATAGATACAGTAATTCCATTGGCAAATATTTCATAGAGGTTAAAGCTTATTAGTGTTTTAGAAAAGGGATCATTTTGTGCTCATAAATTTTAAACATTCAGAATAAGGTGAAATAAATTTAACTCACTGTAAATTAAGTTTCACTTTGTAATGATTACAATGGTGACCTGTTTTGTCTCTTAAAATGCATATTATTGTGTTGTTTTTTTTCTTTCTACATTTTAGGTATGGTGCTTGGTCTTATAAATGTAAGCCTTAACACATTTCAGAGGGGCAGTGGTCTGAAAACCATTGAAAATATTGTGTTGTCATCGAGTTTTGATATTTCATCTTGCCTGGTAGTAGTGTTTATAGCATACTATGGAAGGAAAGGAAACATTCTAAAATGGATTACAGTTTCCTCCTTTTTAGTAGGATTTGGATCACTTTTATTTGCTTTTCCACACTTTCATGGTGAAAGTTATCAGTTGGACATAGAAATTGAAGGTAAGATTTAAATGTTACTGTCATACATCAAATAATTGTTCCTTTAAATCATTGCCTCTAGGACCTTAAAATAGACTGTGATACTTGTCTGTCCATATACCCATCCACCTGTATCTATTTATATGATAAAGTTTATTAAGCTAATTAATTGTAGCTCCCTAGTAATATATATCCATTCTTCCATCTTCTCAGGATCATATAATCTTTCATGTAAGAGATGGGCTTAGGAAGAACAAAGACTACTTTGTGATAATTATTTTTGTGAAATTGTTTTTCTTTTATCAATTTTTATATATGTTTATTGAGAACTTTAGTAATTCCTCATTTGTTCCACAATGTGCTTTAATTAATCCATTTGTTTTGACTTCAAAACACTGACACACAAGCACAAATACGAACATAAAAAACTTACACAGAAAAAGAAAGGTCAGACATTTTCTAGCTACTCCTCCCACTTCAAAATGGGAGCTGCCCTTTGACATTTTCATACACCTATCTATGCAGATATATTGCTTTATTTAAATGTTTATCTCTTACATAACAAATTTTCTACTCTGTTCACACATTAGTGTGTGTGTGTGTGTGTGTGTGTGTGTGTGTGTATAGAATTTCTATGTTCTCTTTGAAACAGTCCATTTACCACCAACTGCCACTCCCTTTCTCTGCTTCCCTCATCCCATCACAGTTTTCCATACCTGAGACAAGTCGATCTTCAGGCCTGCTTCAGTCAACAAGTAGGTGTCATATTCCATCAAATCATTTAGCAGTTAAAACTGAAATTTCTTCATTAGTCTGTGAAAACACTTGTATCACACTCTGATCTTTAGTTTCTAGATTTTTACATGTGATTGGCCACCCAACATTCCCATGGTTGCAGTGAACTGTCTCTTCACTGAGAACTTCCTAAATACCTATTATCCCACTCTCTGATTATTCCCACTCATTCTTCCAACTCACTAATATAATTAAAACCACAGTTCTTTTATTACCTTCAGTCTATTAACATCTACTTTCTTCCTTGATCAGACTCTCCTTGTTGTCACTTTCTTTAATTTATATTCCTTATCTGCACTAATAAAAGACAAACATGCAAATTGACGGTACCTTCGCTATGCCTTAAGCCACGCCCACCAGCCAATCAGAGAGACTATATGCAAATTAACCCAACCAAGATGTCGGCTAGCAGCCACGGAGCTGGAGCAAGCAGGAGGCTTGGTTGCCCCAGTGATGGAGGAAGCTAAGCTTCCTGCCTGCTGTGGCTGGCTCGGAGCTCCACTCAAGGCAACAAAGTTTCAATTATAGAAGCTTAATAAACCCCAGATACCTGCTTTCAGCTGGCTGTGGCCACGGAGCTGGAGTGAGCAGGAGGCTTGGGTTGCCCCTGGCAATGGAGAAAGCCAAGCTTCTCGCCTGCCCT